TGGCTTTAACAAACAGGGATTTATTCTCTTACAGTTTAGGAGGCCAGAAGTCTGAGTTCAATGTGCCGGCTCTAGGGACTGGGTGAAGGCCCCTCAACCTTGGGCTTTAGTTCTTCCTTCTGTTCCAGGCCACTGGAGCTGGAGGGTTTTTCTGACTCACACAACTGTTGGCTGCTGAAGCTGATGAATCCAAAATGGACAAATAAAATTGCACAGTCCAAGATTAGCAGACAACAGGGTAGGCCACTAGTTCAAGTCCAGGCGCACCAAAATCAGCAGGCAACATGGCAGCCCTTGAGATGAAAACGTAGCCAAATGGAGGATCCAGAAAGCTAGTGAGATTTCTCAAAGCTTCTACTTACATACTGGAAGCAGGCTACACCCCAAAGAGCAATACTTAGCTGCTCACAGCGGAGTCCACCATGGAGGTGATTACAGTCTCATCATGGGGAATAACTGTATCCAGCTTCCCAGTCACTCAAAACCATGGCCCAACCAAGTTGAGACACAACTTTAATACCACACTAAGGGAGAGTAAGAGCAACAACAATAAGTATCCCTCTTAATGTTTTGTTAAAAATTTCAAAAAATCATTGTTATTATTATAATTTTATCTTATGTAGATTTTTGCTCATTTCTTAATGAAGGGAAATGCTTGCAATAGTACAAAAATAAATGGTTCTGATTACATAAAAACATTTTTTTTTTTTTCAGCTAAAAATTCTCCCTGCAACATTTATTCAGAGTTTGAGTGTGGAAATGGTGAGTGCATTGACTACCAGCTCACCTGTGATGGCATTCCTCATTGCAAGGATAAATCTGATGAAAAGCTGCTCTACTGTGGTAAGTGTCTGATATGTGATTTGCTCATTTAAGGGAGAAATCTGTGATTTATTATTATTATTATTATTATTACGGTTTTTATTCATCTATTTCCGATTGGTTTATGTAGATGATTTTATTAATGTCTCTTATTCACATGGCAAATGACTTGGCTTTCCTCAAACTAAAAATAGATACTTTTGAAATCAATGGTGCATGATATTTATTAAAGAATTTCCTCATGACTTTTCATTCACAAAATGAAAATTAAAACATAGCAGAAAACTGTCTTTTGAGCTGGCTAGTTATTCACCTTTAACAATAGGCTTTAAGTTTGATTCCTTTAAAAGAAAAATATAATGCAGAAATATCAACAATTTGTGAATATTGCATGCTTACTCCATGACAGAAGTCTGCCATCAGTCAATAGAATGTTTTTTGATTTGTATCTTTCTAGTCCATTCTATTTGTGCCTCCAAGATTGGCATAGGGCCAATGTCCTTTGACAGAATGACTGTTTACTTTAACCATGGTCCCCAATCCTATACTTCATCAAAAAGAAAATTCTAGCAACTGTCCTTCTACAAACAAAGCAAAACAAAACACCTAAAGTCATTGAGTCAAATGAGACTTACAGTGACCCTATAGGGCAGATTAGAAATTTCCCGTAGGATTTGCAAGGATATACATCTTTACAGAATCAGACTGCCTCATCTTTCTCCCACGGAGCAGCTGATGGGTTCAAAGCACAGATCTTTTAGGTAGCAGCCTAATGCTTTGACCACTGTTATAGGTGACACCACATGACAGTCCACCTCCACTCTCTGTAGAGAGTGGATTTTCAATCCTAGTTAGCAACATGCCAGTTGCCTTAATAGCAACATTTTTTTTAAACTAATAATTAACAGTTATTATAGAATTAATCTAGATTATTTAAAATTGTTCTGATTTATTTTTAATCTGTAAATACAATGTTGTGGTTTTGGTTATGCATTGCTGTCGTCCAGTCAGATCCAACTAATCGCGACCCCTCCTTCGGTTTTCGAGGCGGTATCACTATGGAAGTAGATTACCCAACCTTCCTTCTATGGAGTGGCTGGTGGGTTTGATTAGCCTTCTGATTATCAGTCAAATGCCTTAGGCATTAAGCCATTGTAATGTTATGCTATGCAAAATTTGGGAAGCAGTATTTGGAATTGGTATATTTTGTTTCAATTTTTCTCCTTTGTTCTATATTCTCAGTAATAATTAATAGTTAAATATTCAAAAGAAATTAAAACAAGATAACAGAATTTGGGACATCCATAGGAGTCCGCACATCTTTTTATACTGCAGAATTATATACTCTCAGTTAAAATGATAATCAAATATAATTAGTCTGCAATCAATCTGTACCCAAAGTCCTAGGAAATTTACCTCATGTACTGTATTTGCTTGAATGAATGGATACATCTTGCAAAATACAAAAATATTAAAGTGTTTAAAATGTAATAATCAATTGGTACCATTTCATACTGTGAATTGGCTTGAGAAGGTTTTTCAAATTGCTTTTATCTTCTCAGATACATGCAATATATAATGCAATAATAATAATAATGTAGTAAATATGTTGAGTTTGCTGGCCATATGTAGTCTCAATCACATATTCTTTATTTTTTACAACCTTTGAAACATAAAAACTATTCTGAAATCCAAAGCATGGAAAAAGGGGACCTAATGGCTATAGTTTACCAACTCCAGGCATAGAATATAGGCTTTGGATCCACACACTGTGTTTTATCTTTGTTACCAAACCCACCAGTGTGTAACTGATGTGTACTACATATCTCACATTCTACATTGCAGTTTACCACTATAAAATAACTTAGTTCTAACAAAAGCATAAGAGCTCTGTTGGGATAGTGCTTAAGGCATTTGACGCTGACCAGAAGGCTGCTGGTTCAAAGCCACCAGCCACTCCTCAGAAGGAAGGTTGAGGAATCTACTTCTGTAGTGATCCTGCCTCGGAAACCCAAGGAGGGGTCACTATGAGTGGGATCTGACTCCACAGCAGTGTGTTTTGTTTGTTTTTTAACAAAAGCATAGGCACTTTGGTGACATAGTGCCTAAGGCATTTGACTGATAACCAGAAGGCTGGTGGTTCAAACCCACCAGCCACTCCCTGGAAGGAAGACTGGACAATCAACTTCTGTAGAGATACCGCCTGGGAAACCCAAGGAGGGGTCACTATGAGCTGAAATCCACTCAATGGCAGTGATTTTTTTTTTTTTTTTTTTGAAAGAAAGCATTACATAAACATATATAGATTTACATATCAGAGCCTGGGACAGCATTAGTATTCAGTAAACTGCTCATGTTGTTTTAAGTACTGGTTTCTACCCCAAATCAGAAACTGAAGAAAGCTCTACATTTAGGATAAATAGAAGACAGAAGCCCTTCTTAGGAAATTCTGGTAAATGATTTTTGTTAATTTAAAAAATAAATTTGTCATGATTAAGAGGTAGAATTCTCATTTTTCATGAGGGAGACCTGGGTATGCTTCTTGTCAGTTCACCTCATGCACAGCCACCAGCCCTCAGTCAATGGAGACTTGCTTGTTGTTATCATACTCTACATGTTTTAATGGAATTTCCTGACAAAGAGTAGGAAGAAACACCTGGGCACCTGGGGAAGTATTTCTGAAAATCTGTCACTAAAATCCCCATGGATTAAAATGCTCTTGTCTGTAACTGACTATGGGAAAGTGCAGGACCCAGCAGTATTGGGAACCAACCCTGTTGCACCTAACATTTGATTCACTAACTGACAATCACGTTTGGTACCTGAATATTTATTTTTTATTATAAAATCCTTGCAAGATTCAAAGAACTTAGAGATCAAGTTGTTCTGGTATGTTTGTTACTTTTGAGTCAGAGATTTATTTCCTTGGAATAGAATATGTAATATATGTTTATTTCCATGCTACCTGACATAAGTGCCAGAAGCAATAATGTGGGAATAATTTGAAGAGATCTCAAAGTATAAATCACTGAAGTTAAAGCAGTAAGTCAAAAAGAGTCTTTACTGAATGAACTAGTCTTTAATGATACATGAATATTCCAATCCAGGGCTTTGTTACTGCACAGCACGTGTTTTATAGATCCACAAATTATGAATGTACTCTTATCTGTTATTTTCTTTCTTGTGCAAATATTTTTATGAGACCTCCAATTATGCATTTCTACTTTTACTTATAAGAAAACAGAAGCTGTCGAAAAGGTTTCAAGCCCTGCTACAATCGTCGTTGTATACCTCATGGCAAGTTATGTGATGGTGAAAATGACTGTGGAGACAATTCTGATGAATTAGATTGCAAAGGTAAATACATATTGCATCAGCCTAGGAATATTATTATTCTAAATATTTCCTACATTTTTACCTGCTTGTGTTTTTTAGTATTCTATGGTCCAATTTTTCTGTTATATAACAACTTTGGACCACATTTTGGTAAATGGTGTTAGAGGGGCATTATTAAAGTTAATTGAACATAATGGTTTCTACTTTTTTTCACTTAAAAACCCTTGAATTTCTCACCTCTCTTGTTCCATCTTCCTGTTTATTGGACAGTCTTACCATATTATAATATCAGTATTACAATATTTATTGCTTCAAAAATGTTCCCTTTTGCTCTTTATTCCCCTGTCTTACCCATGTACTTATTTTGTTAACTACTGGACAAGAAATTTTGGTATTCACCTTGTTTCTGCTTCTACTGATCACCCACAGATTCAATAATCATCAAATCTTCCAATTTTCTGAAATATCTTCTATATCAATCTATTTTTAGTCTGGATTAACAGAGTAGTACCTTAACTATTCTCTTGCCTCAATTCTTCCCATTTCATTGCTATCTTCTTAGTCATGCTGATACTGCTTTCATGTTTTCCCACAATGACTACTGAGACAGACCCTGAAGCCAGACTGCAGGGTTAGAACTTCAGCCTTAACACTTACTAACTATGACTTTGAATAAGACACTCAACCAATATTCACCTCACTTTCCCAAACTTTAAGAAAGAGGATAATAAATGAGTATATCATTGTGAAATGAGCCTAGAGTAATGAGAGTCCCTGGGTGACACAAATGATTAAATACTCGACTACTAGCTGAAACACTCAGGTTCAAACCCATAAACCACTCGATGGAAGGAGAATGGGGCAATCTATTTCCAGAAAGATGACAGCCTTGGAAGCCCAATGAGGGTGGCTATGAGTCGGAATCAACTCTATGGCAGCGAGGTTTTTTTTTGTTGTTGTTGTTCTCTCAAGTACTCAGTGTGTGTGAACTGATTTGGCCTGATTGAGCAGAACGAAGGGACTCACTTTAATCTGATATCAAAGCCACCCACAAATGAAGGTAATCTGCTTAGCCTAAGGCCAACTGTTTTAAATAAGCCATGGTCCAGTTGTCTGTTATGGATTGAATTTTGTCTCCTAAAAAGATAAATTGAAGTCCTAACATTTAAATCACATGTAAATACTTTCACAGCAACATTTATACTAGTATTGACCAAACTCCTTGGCACCACAGCCTAGCCTCGTTGACACATAAAATTAACCATCACAAACTGCTGTAGGGCAGACACATAACTTATTAATTTGTCTATGTCCTTAATACATTTCACTGAATAATGTGTGTTCAATAAATAGCTGACTGAACCACTTCAAAACAAAAGTGGATAGGGAATGCTCACCAGATAGTAGATACAACAAATACAAGATAGGGAAAATTTTAAATTTACTTTGGAAAGGTCAACTGGGCAAAAGTTTAGGATGCCTTAACTGTCAAACTAATACCAAATAAATAAATAAATAGAATCCTTATTTATTCTGCAAACACTGGAACTCCATTAGTTGTTCTCATCAGGACAGTAGAGAAATGCTTACATAGCACTACCTAAGGCACTTGCTTTCTAACTAGGAGGCTGGTGGTTCAAACCCACCAGCCACTCCTCAGAAGGAAGGTTGGGCAATCTACTTCCGTAGTGATACTGCCTCAGAAACCCAAGGAGGGGTTGCTATGAGTTGGGTCCGACTCGACGGCACATAACAACAAAGCAACAACATATGCCAGAGTAATTTGTTGTTATTGTTGTTAGTTGCCACCAAGTTGATCCAACTCATGGTGACCCCAGGTATGCAGAGTAGAACTGCTCCAGAGTTTTCAAGGATGTGCCCTTTTGAAAGCAGATCACCAGGCCTCCCTTTCAAAGCTCCTCTCGGTGGGTTTGAACTGCCAACCTTTCAGCTTGTTGTTGTTGTTGTTTGCCGTCGAGTCGGCCCCGACTCATAGTGACCCCTCCTTGGGTTTCCGAGGCAGTATCACTACGGAAGTAGGATTGCCCAACCTTCCTTCCAAGGAGTGGCTGGTGGGTTTGAACCGCCAGCCTTCTGGTTAGCAGTCAAGTGCCTTAGGCACTATGCTACCAGGGCTCCTCTACTATGCTAGGAATGAACCTCGCTGCCATAGAGTTGATTCCGACTCAAAGCCACCCTCATTGGGCTTCCAAGGCTATCATCTTTCTGGAAATAGATTGCCCCATTCTCCTTCCATCGAGTGGTTTATGGATTTGAACCACCTACCTACTGGTTAACAGTCAAATGCTTTAGGCATTATACCATCAGAGCTCCCTACTCGAGAGAAGAGAAGGATAACTTATCACTGTAAACGTGGTAGGAGACAGAGACTATACCCAAATCTGACTCCTTGAGTGGAGGTTTGAGTATAGTTTTTGTAGGGATCAAGGAAGGGGGGCTATACATAGTCATATAAATTCCAGGAATTTGGGGATGTATTGGCTGGGGATTGGCTGAAGTTTCCTTCCCTTGATTTAAAAGGTCAATTTTTAATTCAATGTACTTGCGTGCCACCAGACGAGTTACACTGACTTCCTGTCGACGGCTGGTGGGGGCTTAGGAAGAGGAGGAGATGTTAGTTCTGAGTAACTTTGTTCTATTTCTCCTGTTGCACATGTCCACTGGCTAAAACTGTTCTGAGTTGGTTTTAACTGATTTCATGTTGGTCTCTGCTCAGTTTCTAAAAAAAAATTTAAGGGAATAAGTTATCATGCCTGCTTAATTTGTTTCCAACAATGGTGGGGGATAGTTTCAGAAAGGGTAGGGAAATGAGTTAAACTCTTGGCACAGTGGGTAAGGCCTCAGCTTCTAACCAAGAGGTCAGTGGTTCAAAACACCAGCCCATTTGCAGGAGAAAAATATGTCATTCTGCTTCTATAAAGATTTACAGCCTTGGAAATCCTCTGTGGCAGTTCTTCTCTGTCCTATAGGGTCACTATGAGTCAGAATCGACTCCATGGCAATGGGTTTTGGGGTTTCACTGCATGAATTGAAAGCCTTAAGAGCAAAAGCTTAAGTTTTTGATGAAGAAAGATTCCATTTCAAAACTGTAAATAGATAAGATTGCTGGAATTTCCAGCTTGTCATCTGACCTATGGATCTTTGACACAAGACTTTAGACTCTACCTGTTACCCAATTCAAAACCACTTTCACATTTTTAGCTATTTTTTAGAGCAGCTCCCTATTTCCAAGTACTCAACTCTGTCCTCATTTCCTAGGGCTGCCACAAAAAAAATACCTCAAAGTGGGTAGCTTTAAAGAATAGAATTCTCATTTCAAAATGGCAAATTTGGAGAAAAAGATGGGATCAAAGGTACCAAACAAATCTGAAACACATCATAGCAAATTTCATTAGATATCTAGGTTTGAAAATAATTCTCTTTTCTCCAAGCCCATCTGGATAATTGATCATTTGTCCTGGCCACTGGCTCCTCCTCTCAACTTTGCCAGTGACTCTATTCTCTGGAATTGAGACCATAGTCCAACTCTCTGTTGTGAACCGAATTGTGTACCCCAAAAACCTAGGTTGACATTCTAACCCCTATACCTATGAATGTGACTTTGGAAACAGAGTTTATCTTTCAGGATATGATCAGTTAATGAGATAGTATCAGAATAGATAGGGGGAGTCCTAATCACTTCTGAGTGGTGTCTTATAAGAGGGAAAACAGATATGAACACAGAAGAAGACAGATGTCATGTGAAAATAGATTCTGGCCCACCACAAGCTGGAAGAGAGAAAGAAGAAGTTATCTCTTAGAGCAGAAGGACAGGGAGTGTGTTGTCCTGCTGATGCCCTGAATTTGAACTTGCAGCCTCCAGAACTGTGAGAGAACAAATTTCTGTTCTTTAAAGCCACTCATTCCTTGATATTTTGTTCTTGTTTTCTATGGCTGCCCTAGGAAACTAAGCAGAGTTTAAAGTCTAAGAGAAAACATAGTCATGAAAGCAAATGAAGATATTTACAAGGAAGGTCTGAAAGACACTGAAAAGTTTCAAGGATGAGATTAATTGAAACTCAGTTTAAAGTATAAATAAAGTGGAATTACCCAAAAGGAAGAGAATTCCAAGTAGAGGAATTAACAATGAAAATACAATGAGTGTAATAAGGTGGAGCCAGGTTCCATATAGAGGTGTGGTAAATATGGAACAAATCTGAGGCAGGAGCCAGAATAAAAAAGTGAATTTGATTCCATATTAAGGAAATTGAATTTTATCCTGTAGTCAGAAAGTGAAAACATCACTGAAGGCTTAAAACAAGCCAAATGTAATCAAATTTAGATTTCAATAAAGGAAAAACAAATGATTGTGTGGTTAAAAACTGTAATACTGAAATTAAAGAGCTCAAGCAGGAGGTAATGGCAGAAGCCAAGGCTAATATGAAAGAGGAGCAGGGAAGATATAATAGCCTTTTGAAAGCAGCTTAGCAGGTCTTCTTGGGTAATAAGGATAAAGCATGGGAAGAGGCACAGGCTTTGGGAGAGAGTTTGTTTTTTTAAAATTATTATTTGCTTTAATTTATTTATTTTTTAGACTTTTTATTTGAGTGGGGATTGGAATGAGATAATAAAGACAGTTTGCAGTCTGTGGTTGGAGCAGTTGTAGGACACTTGTATGGAGCTGTTTGGAAAATAGATGCAGATAGACAGATAAAGATCTGGAGCTTAGGCAGTAGATTTAGACTACAAGTATTGACTTCAGACTCATTAAGGAGAGAAAGCACAGGGTGAATGTGGGGAATAACAATTGTTTTAGGAAAGTGCATCAGAATTACCTGTTTAAATTAAAAATTAAAGGCACTAATATAAAAAGGAAAATAGATCAGAGGACTAATAGAAAAATCTCATAAGAAATCCAAAAAAGGGAAATCTTTTTATTTAGTTAGTTAGTTAGTCCTGTTTTGTTTTTTTGCAACAAAATACAGATCAGTCTGTACTGTTAAGTATTACAGAGGAAGTAG